CCTGCACGTTAGGATTCGATCATTGGCAGGTTGGTTGGATCAGTTTTCGAATCATAACGTGCAGGGTGTTTTATTTTGGTGATGTTAGCCTAACCTTCCTCTAATTTGTCCAAAAGGATAGTCAAATTGCATAAAATTCCAGTTCTGGATCTACACAACGGATGGAAGGTTGAAATCGGATGAGCATATGTGTCTCTCAGCTACACAAATTATTCATACCAGCAGCGAGTGGACTGTACAGTTGAAGGAATGCGCTGGTTACGATATCGAACACTGGGATTATAATCGACGGGTGCGTCACAAAGGTTTAAGCCGAAAATTTGAAAATTGGCTATTTGAAATCCCCTACAATCCCAAATTTAATGAATCTTGTGTTTAAAACCGTCTATATACTTTGGAAGAATAATTGTACATCATCAATTGTAAAAGAAAACTTTATTTTTTTTCAGCTAAGAACCTTTAAACATCGTAAAAGCGGATTATGCCTTACTCAGAGAGGTGTTGAGATGGAAACACAGGATGAGCTATCGCCGCCAACCCTCTCTGACTGCGGACGTAGGATAGAAGAACAAGTAGGACTTTATCTCTTGCTCTCAATTCTTTTATAGATTTTCCAACTTCTTAACAACTTCATCACCACTTCGCTGGAGCTTTGGGAATTTAAATTTAAGATTTCTATTTAATAGAATGGGTAATATTAAGATGGTCAGATTATTTGAATATACGAAATTTACTCAAAAGGATAATTTTAAGGCGACGACTCTTTTTATCTTCAGATCCTCTGCAGATCATTTAGTAAAAATTGACAGAGGTGTTCAAAATCTCAAAACCAATTCATATAGTCTTGCTTACAAAAAAGTAGTATGAAGTTTAATTAACGAGATACAGCTTGCTTATAGCGAAGTTTAGAAAAGAAAAAGGATAGCGGAGGAAAATTTACATTAAATAATGCTTTAATGGATAAGAGGAACATGAGTAATTGTTAAACAAACCAGAGGTGTCTATGCATATAGCCAGCTTATCTAGTAATTGGCTGCTTGTTCTACAAAAAATAATTTGGAAAGTTCATTTTTCAGATGTGGTCGTTGAAGTCGGTGGAATGGAGGCCGGAAATCTGATGAAGACATCCTTAACAACACTTTTGTTGCTACCTAAATCAACTTAAGCTAGCTAGCGCAGCTATAATTCGTTTATTTCACTTTTTAATGTATTTTATTCAACATTTAATCAT